TTAAAAAGTTATTTTATTTAGCTTACTATTGATATAAAGTTTGTTATGCTTTTAAAGAGATTTACTATTCGAATTTTAATTAATAGTCAATGTTATGCCATTCAAATTTTATTCAAAAAAATGTGTGGTTGCCACGAAAAGATTTTTGTTCAGCTGGTAGCAAACAAATTAATGCAATTCTTTGTTTTTATACTTATATTATAACTTTTTTTTGTATATTTTAGTGCGAATATTTACTTTAACTTTAATTTAGTTTGATTTGTATGGTTATTGAAAAAATAATTTGTTTAATATTTATTTTCTACTAAGTTCAGTTTATATGTTTTATTCAAGTCACTGGTTATTTATTCAGTTTATACTTTAAATTAATTTATACGCTTTAGTTAAATTATTCTTTTATTACCTTGTTTATATTGTTTAAACCAGTACGATTTACTGCAAATATTTGTTATATATTAAATTTTTATTTTTATAAATTTTATAAATTTAATTTTTAATTATATCACAAACTTTTTTTGGGGATTTAGTAAAAATATATACAAAAATGATTTGGTGATTGTGGTAAAAAAACAATATGATATCTTTAAAAGATTTATATGATGACATCATATACCAAAACTGTTGTGAATTAAACATGCACAGAATAAATTATCAAGTCTGCAGATTGGGGCTATCATTATGCAGACTCCAAGAACCAAAAAAAATGGAGACGGCGAGCTTCGATTAAAACGTGAATTTTAAAATTAATAGTGTGCATTCATTACTAAGTTTTAATCAAAAAAGTTCAGCCTAAATGTTTTTTTTTTAAACATTTTTTTTAATATGAACACAACTTGTCTTGGCAGTTGGGGATCCTTTTAAAAACTGAATATGATAGTGTTAAAAGTTTAAAAGCATTCATTTAGTAGATTATTTGCTTCATCAGTGTGAGCTACCACTTCCCTATTTTTATACGTGAAATAAATGACTAAAAAGTATAAAGAATATTGGTGAACAAGCATTTAACATATTTACACATGAACAACCTTTAATTCAGTTTGCTCTGATTGATTCTGAGATAGAGTTGTATGTGAATGCCGACATCATGTCAATTATGTTTACAATTTGAGAACAGACCAACACAAACTTTATTATATTAGAGTATTGCATTGAAATAGCTAAAGGTTCTATTTCTTAAAAGTATGCTAACAAAAAACCTGGCACAGTTTGCTAATCACGGTGGCTAACTTACTTTAAGAATTATGTTTTATGCAAGAACTATGATACACATGAATTAAACTGCATCACAAAGTAAAAAATCCAGATTTGCTGCTCTGTGTGGTTTGCTGCAGAAAGTTCACAGCATTTCAAAGATGTACCAATGCTTATTCATAAAACAATATGGTTAGTCAATAAACAGGATAACAGAATTCAAATGATTATGGTGGTTACACCCTTAAACTTCGATGCTGATATTTGAACAGACTTTATTGAAGATCTTTTATACAGGTACAGCTTCTTACTTTAGTATTTGTTTCTTCAAATAAGTTACAGATTTCTCTTAATTATCTTACTAACAATAACCAATCAGTAGAAAGAGTTGTAAAATCCACATCTAAAGCTTTTAAAAATGTTTATGGATAAGTGAAAAGACAATTTTTTTTTCTGATGTAAAATCAAACCAGAACTGAAAACAAGAGAAATGCAAATAAATCAGATTATTGTATATTTTCTTCAGAGTAATCTTTATACAAATACAAGTAATTTAATACAAAAAAGTAACACAAATTTTTATCTTACAAATATATTGAAATCAAAAATCATTTTTTTATTAATTAAACAAAATATACTCTTTTAGGGGAAGACATACTTGAACAATTGTATTAAAAACATTCAGCTTGAAAACATTCTTCATAATGAAAACATTTTGCTTTCATTATAAAGATCTTAAAACAGTTTAAGTAAGAAATGTTAGAAGTTTTTAAAAATTTTTTGAAATGATTTCATTTGAAAGAAAATAAGTTATTAAACAAAAACCAATGAAGTTGCGATGTTAATTATATATGAGCCTGTGTCTGGAAAAAGCTCTAACCGGAGCCAACATTAACCGTTTTTCATGGCGGCTCTGGTTGGGTTTTTTTTATTTATAAATAAAAAAAACACAAATAATTAAAAACTTCAAAAAATTTACTGAAATTATTATAACACCAAGTTGTCTAATTTTTTGCGGAGTTATATATTTATGGCTCACAATAATCCCAAAGTTATTTTATCCTAATTATTTTACATAACGTATCCTTATTATCTTGAGCTATTTTGATTTGATTTGATTTAAAGAAAAAAACAAAAAAATCATACAGATAATATGAAATTTTTTTGTAATGTAACACTAATAGAGACAATTTAATACAGTACACAGTGGTTCTGATAATTGTTCATTTTAAATTTTGATTTAAAAAAAGTCAAGAAAGATAAACAATATAATCAGAATTCCATAATTTATAATAAAGTGAAAATTTAATTTAAATTGATTTAAATATGTAAATTTCAAAATGAAAAAAAAAATATATTTATTTTATTATGATATTGCTATACTAATGTTTATACTAATGCTATACTAATGTTTTTTATGATAATATTTTTTGTTACAAAAATATATAATTAACTAATATAAATAAAGCATTTATGCAAAATTGCAGATATTTATAAATTATAAAATACAATAGAAAATATTTATACTGTTTATGTTAACTCTTGATCTCCAGTATTCAACTTTAAGTATTGTGCTGAGTAAAATAGTAGTGTTAAAATAAATATTTCTAAATTCTTATATATCTTATCATGTATGCATTGTAATGTATGTATAAATTTAATATGAAAATTCCTCGTAATGTAATGTAACACAATTAAAAGAAAGACAAATTAATACAGTACACAATCGTTCTGATAATTGTACATTTTAAAATTTGGTTTAAAGAAAGATAAAAATAAAACAATATGATCAAGTAAAAAATTTCATAATTAATTAATTTTTATTTAAATGAAACTTTATTTTAAACTAATTTAAATACATAAACTTCAAAATGAAATAACATTACCTAGCATTGAGTTAAAAAAACTATTGTTTTTTTTATTTGATTTCATAATATTAAAATATTAATATTTTTAAGAATTATTTTAATTATACAAAAAAATATAAAACAAATAATTATAAACAAAAGCATTTATACAAAAGTGCAAAAGTGCATTTATAATTTATAAAATAAAATAGAAAATATATAAACTTTTTATGTTATTAACTCTTCATCTCCAATAACGTATCAGTTGAACACAATGAAATTCCCACACTTTAATTGTTAATTACACAAAAACTACTTAACAGATTTTTGTAATTTTTTTTTATACAATGAAGCTAATTTAACTATTTATTTATTTCAATAATTTTTATTGGACGTTTTGAAGCTATTTTTTTTTTCTCCTATTTATGTCGTATGATGTAATTTTAGTCAATTTTAAAGGCAAAATCTATAGTGGTTGGTCTTATTGAATTATGAGACTTCAGAGATATTGGAAATACTGTTTTTATTTCTTTTTACCAAACGCCATTTAAGGTGGTTCATCACCAAAAAAAAGTGAATAAAAAAATTGAAAAAATATCTAATTAAATAGAAAATTTTATTTCATTTTAATTTTTTGAAAAAAGTTTTACTTTTGTTTTATATTTTTTGTGATATTTAAGTTTTTAGCTAGATACATAAACTGATGAGTCCTTAGCAACGCCTTACGAATCACGTTTTTTTCTATTATAATAAGAATGAACTTAAAACTCTTTATAAGAAACTGAATATCTTTGCAACCAAAATATGGTGGGCATTTCATGCTTTTTAATAAATGGCAAAAGGCGTTTCTTTAAGCATTCTTTTATATAAATCTGGGCTCAAAATTTTACGAGTAATGTATGGTGTACTTATTGAACCACAGAAGCAAATTGCTTGCCATATAAGGAACTTGGAAGAAAATTTTCAGTTTGAGTATACTTGAATTTTTTGACAACATATCTACCTTTAGACAGACAAAAATATTGCTGCCTCGGCAATTGTTAAAGATCATTTTTGCAATAAATTTTTCATCTTATAATGCACAAGTTTTCTTGGTTTAAAGGTTTATATAGCTTTTCTGAACAACGAATTGCTTTAATTTCTCCATCAATGGATTGCTTTGGAGTTTTTTTTTTTATGATATAATTTATATTCTTAAGATCTAAGAACTTTTCCTATAAAAATTTCCTTTCAAGATCTCTCTGTAACTGACATGGATTTGCCTTTATGAAGTGAATGATTGATTTTGCTTTATATTTATCTTTAAATCCATTTTTTCTTGTACTTCCAGATTCTCTTTCAATAGATTGTGTCTGTATATATCGCTGCAAAATAAGTCCAACTGATGATCGAGAAACATTGGTCAATTTTGAAATATAAACTTGTAACAATGAAGGATTTTAAAGAAAAATTTCTAAAACTTTTTTCACTTTAACATTTGCTTACTCATTTTAATCTGATAGCAATGATAGCCAATTCTATTTCTTTTTAATTCAATTTAATTTCCATTACAATGAAATTCAATTTAATTTCCATTACAATGAAACAACAACACATTAACTTCAGCATGCAAAAAATCAAAAAAATTTGTCAAGTAGTTTTTTTTGAGTAACTAACAATTAAAAGGTGCTAAACTTGATCATGTTCAATCAATATTTTGAGTATTGTGTATATGAAAATTATACAGTATATATCTTATGTATGTATGCATGTATGCAATGGATGTAATAAACTATTATAATAAAAATTAAATGTTTATATAACAGGTTTTATTTCTCAAAATAATATTTTCTTTATGATTTTTTTTTTATTTGCTACTTTTTTATATACTACTTTTTTTGCTTGTTGGCTACTAATGTGTTTTATCAAGAATTAAAATTTTAGTTAATAAACAAAAAAATAAAAATTAGCAATAAAACTTACTTTATTGCAACAGTTGGAAAACTTCCGGAAATCAGAACTTCTTGAATAAAACAGCTTGTCTTGTAGCAATCGTTTGAAAATACATCTTTTCCTGCATACTTTGTTCCACAAACTTCAATATGATAACTAACATCTTCTAAAAACTGTTGTGTACTAAAAACTATTTCTGAAAAAGTTGAAGAAATATCTGCCCAAGATTTATTAAAACAAGTATCACTTAAGAATGTGAAATTTAAAAGTGTAAAGTTCTCCATAGCAACTTTAGCATCAGAAAAATTTGAAGCAATTTTGCATCTCCATCTAAAAGTTATATTTTGAGTTCCAATTGTTGGATCATCTGGATCGTAACTAGACATTGCACTTACTTGAAAGTTTTGATAAAAACTTTCATTTCCAACTTTTTTTTTGTATGCAACAGATACAAATAAACCTTTATCAATTTCTATATACAGTGGTGAAAATATAACATTCAAGTATGCAGTATAAACAGCTGAAGCATCTCCATAATTACATTGCAATGACAATATATAAACACCATAATCTAGTGAGTTTTTGGCAATTGAATAAGTCACTTTTTGCTGAGAAAGTATGCCTTTTTGTTGAGTTACTTTGGATTTAAAATCAGAACTAGCAAGTTTCCATTCAAAAGTAAATGTTTCATTTTTACAAAATGAACTAACACTTTCAACAAAAGCTGTTAAATCTCTTCCAACATTTTTAATGATGTTCATTGGATTGTAAACAGTTCCATAATAAAAATGTATTTCAGGCATAGAACAATTTGTAACCTGAACCTGAATAAATATAGGACTGAGAGTCTGCAAATAATTCCTGCATGCAACAGAAATGGTGTAGTTGTTTATATTTTTATACATATGTTGCACTTGAAATGAAACCGGTCTTGAGTTTAAAGTCTGATTATTAGCAGTAGAATAACCATCCCCCCAATCAATTGAATATATCATATTTGATCCTGTTTTTTGATAGATGCTTAATGTTATATTTTTGTTTAAAGATAATTGAACATACCCAGCAAGAGAATCAGGGGGTGTTTTGATGACTTTTAAAGGGGACAGGAAGCAAAAAACTGTTACATTTATAGAACTAGTGAATAATGCAGAGGTGGTATTTCCAGCATTTTCAAAAATATTAGCTGTGATTGTGAACTGTTGACACACAGAATAACTAAAGAAATAATCAAAATCTATAAAATAAAATATTAGCTATGTTTTCTCTGCTTTAATAATTTTTGAAAATTATTAAAGCAGAGAAACCTGAGCATTCAAAATATTAATTTAGGAATTTATTTAATTATTGCTTTGATTTTTTAATTTAAAGCTTTTAAATTTTCAGTTCATAATATACTTCTTGCAAATTTTAAAGCTTTTTACCCCTCCCCATTTTTTTCCCTTTTCACAAAATCTTAACCAACTCCCTGCTCTCTTTAATGTTATTCTATAAAAAATAATGAAAAATCAATTACTGCATAGTTTTGAAGCATGAAATTTAGACAGGCTGTCAGCTGACCATATATATTTTAACTTTTTTTAGGTTTTAACTAGCTAATATATAATAATGAAATAAAATAAACATGGGAGAATATATGCATAGTTCTATATTCAAGTTTGAAAAAATGTTTGATGCCATTTGGTAGATAATCTTAAAACATTTGTCAAACTTTGAAGTCCAATATCTGGAGAACAGACAAATATTGTTGAAATTGATCATTTAATACAAATAACAGCAACAATTCTGAAGAAAGTCACCATTGAGATTTGCCTGATTCTTTTAAAAGCTAGCTATTGATAAAAAAAATTATCTGTTAGCTGAGTTACTTTCTTTTTTATTATAGCAACACCTCCATAGGTATTTTTTATAAACATGGTAAAAAACCAGTTTTTGAAAACAAATCATTAAAGTAAACTTGGGGTTTTAGCCATAATGAGATCATAAAATATTTGCATTTTTGAAATAAACTTGCATTTTTGAGTTTGATTTTAGTGCTAATTCCTTAATTTATCATAAGTTTAATTTATCATATTTAGGTACTATACTAGAAGAAAGTTTGTAATAATAAAAAAAAAATTATGAAATATTCAGAATACTAAAAAAATAGCAATTTTGAAGAAGGTCACTATTAAGCTCTGCCTGATTCTTACAGAGAGTTGCTCTCAAATAAGAAAATGCTGACATATAATTAAAACAAAAATTAACAAAATAATAAAAAAATTTAAAATTATATTTGCAATATTTGTGCAACAAGTGTGAACAAGTGAAGACATTATAAAAGACAGTATGGACAAACAGTTTTTGCATTACTCATAGCTATGTGTACACAAGCATATCATTTTTTTTTTTTGCAAAAATATTAGCTATTAAAAGACTTTTTTTTTTTAAGGAAATCTGGTACTAACATAAATGCTCACTTTAATATTAAATAGCATAAGAGTTTGATTAATTGCTATTAGCCTAATAATAAAGTCAAGTTATATAGCTTTATTTTTTTATTTTCAAAAATTAGGCCTTGTACTGACATTTTTGTTTAAACTTTAATTTTTTTTTTTTTTGTTTAAATTTATTAACTTTAATTATATTTATTTTCTACTCTTTGAGTATTTTTATTTTTTTTATACATTTTTTTCAATTATTAATTTTTTTTAGTTAGAACAACAAAATTTAAACAGCTTTTATTGTTCCACCTTGATAAATTATAAATGATTTAAGTTATGGAAAAAGATAAACAAACATAAAATTATTACCTATGAATAGTACTGTAGATATAACCTTTTGCAGTAGAAGCATTGATGTTTTTTATATTTGTAATAGTTGTTCCATCACCAAAACTAAGTATCAATTGTACATCACTGCAGTAGAATATGCTTATAGTTATGTTGTATGGTTCATACTGTTGTTGATTCTTCTCAGCATTTATTTCAACACCTTTTTAAAAAAAGATCTCAATAAATTAATTATTTTATTAGTTTTTCAAAATTATAAAATATTATACAATAATTGACAAAAGTTGAATAAATTGTAATTTGTTGTAACAATTGAAAAAATTTACAAACTAATAATGATAAAAAATCATCAACTTAAAACTTTACATAAATTTGAAACATAACATGCAAAATCATGTATACATAGAATGGTGACCCAATAAAACATTTATTTTTTTTACACTAGAATGTGCACTAGAAATTGTTTTCTAGGTGTATTATGACCAAACACACCATTTTTTGAGTTTAACAAAATGTTTGGTGTAAAACTTGATATTTCTGAAAATATTTTTTTTTTCTTTTTTTAAGACAAAACTTATAAATATTTAGAAAATCTCTTTCTTTTAAACATTTATTATAATAAAAGTCATGTCATAACAAAATTTTATGCTGCATATGTTAAAGAATCATGGACAAACAAATTGAAAAAACTTAACAAGCTATTTAAATATATTTAAGCTGAAAGACCTTAATTTACAAAGAAGACAATACAAGACCAAGGATGGAACCTTACAGTACCCCAGAAGTTACTAGAAATGATGAAGATTGTTGGCCTTCAAGGATGATTTTAATACTGTGGTTAGAAAGAAATTATTTAATAAACTCAAAAACATTCCCAGATATATCAAACGATGCAAGCTTATTGAGAAGACCAACATACCGAATTTTGTTAAAAGCATTTGATATGTCAAGAGCAACATGCCTTGTCTACGTGCCTCAAAACCTATATCTAATGTATGATAAAAAATTTCTGTTACAACAGCAAGTCAGCTGTGAAATGAGAAGATATCTGCTTTGATTGTTATCGATTAAAATGAAAGATCGAAATCCACATTGATTAAAATGAAAAGATCAAAGATCTTGTTAATCATAGAGAGAAGACTAAGTACTAATATTAGTACTTAGTACTACAAGATTTTGGACTATTAACACCAGAAGATTCAACAAATGATATTGACAAAAACAAAATTAGAAGAGGAAGAAAACAAATCTTCAAGAGATTGATAAAAATAAAAGATGAAGTTTTACATAGTTTATACTTTCATGGAAGAAAAGATTGGACGCTTACAAATGTACTCAAAATAAGCAAATAGTAAATAAGAAAGTTGCTGAAAAACATGTATCTCTCGTAGAGGAACCAGGATCAAAATATATTGGGCATGTTACAATAAATTCAAAGAGGCCAAAATAATGTCACAAGCAGTTTGCTAAATTACTTGAAAAGCAGATAGGAGTATTTAAAGCTTTTATGAATTAACAAGTGTAAATGTGTCTCTGCTAGTGCAACGACATATAGTTTAAATAATTATTGGATTTGAAACAAATAAAACAAATTATTTTATAATATAAATAAAGAATATTTTAAAGTAACTGATCAGATGCTAAAGAACTATTATTTATTTTGTTATAGGTACAAAACATTGGATAATTTAGTTGCTTAGGATGTGATGGGTATCAACACTGATCAAAAAAGCGGAATAATTAAACTTTTAGAGGAATAAGGAAAGCCTTTACAGTGGTTTAAATGCCAACTCCCCGCAAATGAGCTACAGTTTAGCCACCTTTTAATTCATTTTGATAAACCTATATCAGGTCCTTATGGATTTTCTGGAGTAATTGGAAAACTAATGTCCGACTGTGAAAAATTCCCAGTTGTTGCATTTGTTCCAATTGATTCAGATCTACCAGATATGACAAATATTTAATTTAGCACTAATCAAAAATATCTTTATAGTATGTGTGAAACTATTGCTAGTAAAATTTGCTTGACAGACTTGTCATGGCAGGAACCAGGAACACTTTCACTTGCTAGATAGTTAACAGCAGCAAATAGGTTATTGCAGATCTACGTTTCAATAACTACCCCTTCAAAGGATTTGATTACTCTTGTAACATATAGGTGAAGGTGTATGCACCAGTTTGGGTTTTAATAAAGGCTAATTCATCTTTATGGTCCCCATAATGTTTGGCAAACAATTCAAAAGTCTTGCTATTTGTCTAATGACCTAAAAGCAGTTATTTAAAGCAATAATTGGACCAGTAAATTGGCTCAATTCTTATTTTGCACATCCTGAAAATATTATTTTGTGAGAAAAGGAAAAACATTTGGCAGCTTGTACATTCTTCAAGCAAGATCTGAGCAACATGGATCTTTCAAAACTGAACTTTAGTGCAGAAGAACATTTTAATCTTATCAATTGGAAAGAAAAGACAACTTTTTGAACCACCGACTCTAGTCAAATATTGTGTTGAAGATATTGTAATGTATGCTGCTTCTTGTGATACACAACAAAAATATAAACAAAAAAAAACTATAGTAGTGATTAATAAATAAAAACTATGTTAAATTACATCAAAAAGTTGGTTAGTATTATATCAAAAAGTTGGTTAGTTACATTTACAAGTCGGTTAGTATTACTAACATTTATTAGTATTGCAAGTTATATTACAAAGTACATGATGTCAACATTACTAGATTAACAATTATTACTTTAGTGTTTTGTTGCATTTTTTTTATTTTTCAGTATTTTCATAAATTATAACTTATTAATTTACTTTTAAAACACTTTGTGTGTGAATAATTTTATTCTTCGAAAGCTTTACAAACAAAATTATTAAAGAAGTTCAATCCAGCATATTTAAAAATAAAAATATTTCACCACAAAAATCGTATATGTAAAAAAATGCATTATCACCATTGTGAAAGTAAAAGTGATTATGGTCAATGCGCTAGATGTAGGAAAAGAATTTTTTTTTCCTTTCTTTCTGTTTAAAAAAATTTTGACACTGTCATTTTTTGTTATATGTTAATTTTGATAACAGATATAAACATAAATTACAAACTGAAAATAATCTCATTCAATGATATTAACATATTTAATATATTAATATGATCAATATATTTTTATAATATAAAAATATGCTGATAACATAATCTAATATAAAACAATTTCAATTATTTAATAAAAATAAAATCAATTCATTTTCAAATCTTTTGTTAAGTATATGCATATTTAAAAAATATTTTTTGAACTTAAATATTCGAATTCTTCAATCAAACTTTTGGTTTGGCTACAGTTCTATAACAAAATATATGTTATTTGCAGTTTAATTACGATAAACAATTTTATTTGAAGAATTTTTTTTTAACTTTTCATTATCAAACTTTCTTAACAAGAAGATAAAATCTCTTAACTATTTTATAACTATTTTAGAAACAAATAATTCAACAAGTAGTTTAACTTTATACCCAAAAATTAATTTTATACCTAAAGTAAAACAATATTTTATTAATATTAATGTTCTCGTTATCTTTAAAAAAAATTAAAATAAAATTCGAAAATAAAGTAAACTAAACCTTTTCAAAACAAAAAAAATTGTATAGACTTAAAAAAAAGATCAAATATATACCTATAAATGAAATGTTGCAAGTTTTTACTTCACTATAGTCTCCCTTACAAACTAATAATTGAGTATTGCTGCAATTACGAGATCTAGTTGTAACACTTGTTGCATTGCAACAAGACCATTTACTCCATTGTGACCAAAGTGCTGTAAAACAAAATGAGCATAAGAATAGAAATTATATTTTAACTTTGGAAAGAATAACTTATATTAATATATAAATATAAATTAAACAATAAATTTTAAAAGGTTTTAGAGCATGCAGAGATGAATACAATAAAAGATTGAGACTTTGCTGAATATCGAGTCAAGCGAAAATGAATTTTGGTTGATGCAACTAGAGATAATAGCTCATTTTGAGCAGGAACCATGATAGTATTTGTAAAAAAGAGTATTTGTTTAAATATGTTTTGAAATAATATTATATAAATATTATTTTGCTGACCTATTGTTGTATGTGTCATCAGGTAATAAAAATAATGTTACAAAATAACATAAAAGTAAGTAGTTAAAATAAATAAAAGGTATTGAGCAAGTTGTTCTCAATCAAGATGAAGGGATGTTAAAACAAAAACTTGGAAACTAATTTTGACAAAAAATTTAGCTGACGTCTCTATAATATTTTATTTATTGCTTTTTATATTATTTACCTTTTAAAGTCTTTTTTTATATTATTTTGTAATGTTTTCATTACCTGATGATGCTGACAAAAATAGGTCAGCGAAATATTGTTAATATATATTATTATATCAAAATATACTTAAAAAATAGTTATTTTTTATAGAAATTTTGCCTATTTTTTAGAATTTTCATCAATCTCAAACACTTTTAGGTCGGCAATCAGGTCAGCATTGCGAATACCGACCCAAATTTCAAGGGTCTACATGACAATAACTGAGAAAAAATATAGAATATGTGCATGCAACTGAAAAAACCTAAAAATCTTATAAAGAGGTAATTAATAGGGTTTTTTTCTTCTTAAAACTATTTAATAGATAAAAAAAAGTTGTTGTTTTTCTTTGTTTTATCCTTTCTTTTTTTTTTTTTTTTTTTTTTTTTTTGTAGCTTAACTATTTGTGGTTGATTAATAGTAATATTCAAAAAAGTAGTATAACTAACTCAGAATTCATTTAACGAACAATAACATTTAATTTTAACATAAAAAAACTTGTAAATTCAAACTCAAGAAAAATGGTAAGAAAAAAATTACAAAAAAATTTTGAAAAGTTTTAAAAATTTCAAAATCAAGAAAAAAATAATAATTCAAGAAAAAAAATATTATTCAAGCAAAAAAATAATTCTAGCAATAAAAATATTCAACAATTTTTCTTTAAATGTTCTAGTCTATAAAATTTGAATCAGTTTAAATCAAAATCAGTCTGTTTAAACCAGAGTGTTATTAAGCAGTAAGTAATTAAGAGTGTTATTAAGAGTAAAACAAGAGTGTTATTAAGCAGGTTTAGTTAAAAATAAAAAAATAATTAACTTGCCCATCACAAAAATAGAATAACAAGAAAATGGATTAAGAAGCTGTCATTACTATTTGAAATCCTTCTCGCCTACCAAACGGCTAAAAGATATATTTGCTCTGCTGTATCACAACTATTGAATATCTCCTGCAGTAGATAATGCAATATTCATTGGTACTAGTCAAAGCAGTTTTGGCACAAACCCTTCATTTGCAGTGGTTTCTCTTCATTTTGCCAAAAGCATTAACTACAGATATTTTAACTATAGGAATATATATTTTAACATTCAGCAGAATTAAATCTTTGCATGGTTACTTCAATAAAATCTGGATAAAGACATAGAAGAATATCTTTTTGAAGAAAGCATTTTAATTAAAACTTATGTGACCAATAATCTAAATTATCTAAATTAAAATGAAAATGAAATCTAAACTTCTGAACTTTTTGTTAATCAATTAAAAGATTGTGAGTTTGTAAAACCAGAAACAAAAACACCTCCTAACATCAATTGACATTTTAACATTATTAAGAATATATGGGACTATATAAAGTTATATTCTGGCTTGATTTGGTATTTAATATTTTTTATTTACTCTAAAAATCTAAATTTCATTGTATTGTTACACTGTATTGTTTTGTTTTCTCTCAGCTCATTCTGTTTGGTTCCTTTTGCTTTTATTTCACTCTGTTGTGATTCTGGTCTGTTTTTTTGTTCTGATTTTTGTTTTTACTCTTCAGTTTCATATTTGGTTTGTTCTGTTTCTTAGTCTTCTGTTGGTCTTCTGTTGGTTCTATTGATTGTTCCTTCACTGATACTTATTTTTCTAATACTTTATTATTCAAGCATTCTTTCTTAAAAACTATTAAAAAGAATGTTTTTAATTAAAAAAACTCAACTTTAGTATATTTTTATTAAACAAATGATTTTATTATAATTTGTTTTTAATTACTGTTTATTTTAGTACTTTTTTCTATTTTTATTTATAAAAGTTTATTTGTTTTTTTTGTTGATTTTGAATAAAATAATACTGAATATGAAAACTAATTAAATTTTTGTTTAAATTTAATATACCTTAAAAATTAAGTTTTACTTTACAATAAAGTTTATTTGTTAATGTTAAAGTTTATTTGTTAATAATCTGATCAAGTATGCAGAAGAACACTCTAAGTAGAACACTAGAACAGTCCAATTTAAGAAGAAGGGTCCAAAAAACAGAGACAAAAAAATCATAGTGGTGGAATAAAAAAGTTTGTACAAGAAAAATAAAAATATTAAAAAACTTGTAAAAAGCCTAATTACATAAAAAAAAATTTTCTTGTATTTTTTAATTGTATAAGTTTTTTTGGCAAGATGATAGATATAAAATGAAAAACAATTCAGTTTTAGATAATAATTTAGTGTAAAGCAAATGATTATAACAAATGAAGATATTGTTAGAAAAAGCTGGATTAAAAAGTTAGATAAAAAAGTACTTAGAAATAAAGTTAGAATGAATTATTCTTCTTGCTTCTGAAAAATTCTGAAAAAAATTAAAAGTTTATTTAAATTTAAAAGTTTTTTTATTGAAACATGGTTTATAAAAGTATAATGCAACACAAACTTTATAGTTAAGTAGGGTTTCATTGAAGTTTACTTTAACAAAGTCAATCAATAAATGTCAAAGTCATTAATTTGATAACAAACCAATGTTAATCCTTTAAAAAAATATATCTAACAAAAAAAATAGAAAAAAGTAAGATAATAATATAAAAACTTTCCTTTCCTAAAAACTTGTTACCTAAACATTCAATTGTTTCAAAGTTATGCCCATCACATATCCTCTTGAAACTTGGACTGTTACACTCACTTGATTTATTCATAACTTCAGAAAAATTACAACTAGAATTTACATTGAACTGTGTCCCTAAAGATAAAAAAAATGCTACAAAAAAAGATAACAAATAAACTATGCTATAAAAAAGTTGAAAAATTTACAAATTCATAACAATTTAATTTATTTATTTAGTTTTAAGTTAGTTTTATTAAAAACATTTTTTTTTCAGTTTATTTGTTTTAATATAAAAGAAACAAAAGGGTTAAGAGAACAGAATATGGTTAAGAGTATGAGCATAAAAACCTATATATTTATAATATATTATATGTACTTATTATACCATAGTATTTATAAAATAAAACTAGGTTTTAATCTCAAGACCTTTACTATTTAGTTGTATACTAAAAATAATCAGAAACTTTACATAATCATACTTTTAATATAAAAAGAAAAAAAAATTAACATAATCATATTCCTCCTTGTGTTAAGTTTTTGATTATGTACATTTGACTCTAAATATTCTAAAAAGAGAACTTTAATATATTATATATATTCTTTATATATAATATATTAAAGTTCATATATATTATAAACTTTAATACATTAAAAAAAAACTCTTTATAAAATATTATATAATATTTATAAAGAGTTTTTTTACACAAGAAATAAGCTAAACTCTGTGTATAAACTGGGTTTATATTTTTATGTAGTATAACTAATATGTATATAGGAAATTGTGTTTCACAATGAACTATCTATCAAGAGTTATCGCTCTCAACATATCTAAAAACTTTGATAAAGTTTGGCATGCCAGTCTTGTCCATAAGCTCTCTTCTTATGGTGTATCAGGTAACATCTTAAAGATTATTGGCTACTTCTTTACCAATCATAGTACAAAGGTTGTCTTTGATGGACAGCACTCTTCTTCATTTCCTGTAACTTTAGGGGTTCCTAAAGGTTCTATCCTTGGCCCTATACTTTAATTAATTTACAATAACATAATATCTGCTCGAAATTCTTACATCTGAGGTGGCATTGTTCTCCAATAATACTACCATTTACTCTTGTCTTGATAAGAAGCCAACATGCTCAGATTGCTTGGAGGGGGCATTTAAGCTAGAAGAGGATCTCACTTCTGCTACAGCTCTTAGTAGCTGGTAAACTTTAACTCAAATAAAACTCTTTTTCCAGCTAATCATTATTGCAATAATCTAGTTCTTCTTTTATTTATGAACAGTAAAGTACTCCATGAGTCATATATTCATCGTTTTTTGAGATCAACTTTTAATTCTGATCTGATAAAATATTTCTTAATTGATTATTTTTAAAGTGCTAAATCTTCATCCACAAACCATTAAAACTTTATAAAATCAGATATTCATATGTAGAAAAGATTATCAATATATTATATTGATATATTGAAATGTATTTATACATTTGTATAAATACATTTATTGTTATTAACACAATATACTTTTGTCAATATAAAATGTCATTAACACAATTTACGTTTTACAATTACACCTAATATTCTCCTCATTGTTAGAAAAACATGGAGTTCATTATTTTTACTTTATTTTAAAGCAAGCTTGCAAAATGCTCATCACCAGTTTTTTATTTATTTACAGCTTTTACTTTGTATTAAGAAATTTAAAAGGAAATTGTTTCAGAAAACTGTTATAAATAAAAAATAAGTATTTTGCTCAAAATGCCACTAGCTGCACTTAAATATATATATATATCAATTATATACATTTAAGTATATATATTATTTATATCACCCATGTTTGGTGTGACAATAAAAGCATATTTTAATGTAGTGTTATAAAAGTAAATTTACCTGTATATATACTGGAAAATTTTCTAGTAAATTTAAACGTAAATTTAGGAAAATTACAACCTGCAAGCCTTTCCAGGAGATGCGTGCAGTTTAATGTCTTGTATGTCCACACAAAAACGCACACAAATTTTATTTTAGAAAACTATTTTCTTTTAGAAAGACCTAATATAATAAACTTGCAAATGGTCACAGCCGTTTGCAAGTTTATTATATTAGGTCTTTCATAACTTTGCAGAAAAAACTAAGTTTCAAAAACAAAGAAATCAAAACTATGTAGGAAATTAAAATAAATTTAAATAGAAAAAAATAAAAACAAATTAACAACTTTTTTAATAATTTGTGTACATTTTTATATTTGTTTCTTTAGGGCAGTTGTTATTTTTTTTTAAACATCGCTGGTCATATATTTGCTTTTTAACTAGTGATGTACCGATAGTACATGATGTACCGATAGTACATTTTTAACTAGTGATGTACCGATAGTACAGGAAAAGACCAATGTTGATACCAATGAATTAATTAACTATTAAAATTTTAAAAATATAAAACCATACAATTTTAAATCGAGTTATCTTTTTCATGGAACCAATACTGGTAAACAAATACCTGGATCCAAATCAGAACCAAACCATTATTTTAAAAGATATTATAAAAACTCAGTTAAAAAAATACACTTTTTTTAGTTTATTTAGTAATTTAGATATCTAAACAACATACGATTGTTGTTTAGATATCTAAATTATTTTTAGGCAATTTAGAATAATTTTATTTTGTGATGTTTGATCCCCACCATGTCCCTGGTATTACCGCAATCACCTTGCTTCTCCGCATAGCAGCCTTGTTTGTCAATGTTTATGTTTTGTAGTTATAAAGTTGAGAGAGGGTTGTAACCACAAAAAAGTAGCCTCCTCAACTGGAGTGGTCTTCATGGCCTTGGGGAGGTGAATTAAAATAGAAAAATAATAATAAAATAAAATATAGAAATATAGTAGCCTATACTTGAATACAAATAGATAACAATGCTTAAATTAAAGTATAACAAAAGAACAACGCAAAGTAAATTTATTCTAAAAACAACATTATGGTTTTAAAAGTATATTTGCTGTTAAATTAAATCATATAAACATAATCATAAAAATAAAAAATATTGCCTGTAAAAAAAAGCCAAATAAACAATTTCTCAAACAAATTGTAAGTAATGCATAAAGTTTACTTTATTCATTATTTAATTATTATTATAATGCAGGATAAAAATATTTAAATGCCATTGGTTGGAAAATTGGTAAATTAACAAAAAAGGCAGGTTCCATTGTGCAAAAAGTGGCCGATTAAGCTGATGCTGATTAATCAGTACATCACTATTTTTTATCTTTTCTTTTTTTGTATATAAAAAATATATGTGTTACTTAATTATTAATAATTATTTACGTATATTTCACCAATAACGTACAGGAAAAATGTAGAGATGTGAAAAATGTAGAGATGGCATGGCTTAAATAAAAACTATGTGTGCGCGCTTAAAAAATATTGAGAGACATGTTTTGAAAGTATAGAGAAAAGTAAAGTTGAAAATGACTGACTGGTTGAATACTAGGTTTCATACCCCATTTTAAACTCCCTAGTTGATTTGGACAACATCTATGCTCAAAACAAATAATCTTTGTTGGTTAGGGTAAAGTCATGGAAACAACTTAATCAGTGCAAATCCTCAAAATGCTTTCCTAAAGTTTTCTTTTAAAAAATTTGAACCAAAATTTACAAGTAAATTTACATCACTATTCTAAGCTACTTAAAAACTATAAACTACTACATTATATTCACAATACTGTGTTTATTGTGGTTCTGAACCCAGACTGAATAGTTTAATGTTTCTTTAAAATAGCAGCCTTATTAATTGAGGTGTTCTAAAGAAGCTTAGAGAGAGTTATAAAAATATATTCATACAGAAACTTTGATTTTCAGAGAGGTTGCAATGAGATAGATACTGCTAAAAACAAATTAAAAAATACACAATTTTTATTAATTTTTTTCATTAACCGTTTTAAAAAACAAGACAATTCTAAATGTTATATGGTTAAACTTTTTGAGCTCAAAAGTATAAATTTTTAATCCTATTTAAGGTAAGACAATTATTTTTCAAAGAAATAGTCTTACCTTAACTGAAAAAACTATTGAGTGTAGTGAAGTGAAGTACTTAATTGAAAAAACTAAGAAGACCTATATGCTTTAGTTACTTTAAAGATTCCAAATGTCCCTGACAGAGTTGTTTTTTTTTTATAAAAAAAAAGTATAAAACTTAAAACATGAGAAATGCTGATTCATTAAAAATCATTAAATCATTAAAAACTCATCAATCATCAAATTTAAGTGTTTTATTAAATTTTATTCCAGACACTCACTCTGCATAATGTTAGGAGACACAAATATATTCTTATTATTATTTTCTGTAAGTTAATATTAGATTACCTTTGGTTTTATTTAGTTGCTGAATTTTATTTTTGAAAAACTTGATATACTTCACAAAAAGAAAATAATAATGTTTGTGCAGTTTATGCATCCCTTAAAACTATATGTTTGTAATGCGTTTGCAAAGAAGATATCACTTGGATGTGAGTTCTAAAAAAAACATTTATCATAGTGATAAGTTATAAGTTACGGTTGTTAAATTTTTTTTTTTAATGATATTCACCTTCCCAAGACTGAGGGCCACTACAATCTGGGAGGCTAATTGTGGTTACAACCCTCTCTAAACTTTTAAACTCCAAAACAAGAACTTGATGAACAAGGCAGCTGCGCAGAGAAACAAGTTGAGCATGGTACTACCAGGAATGTTGTGGGGATTGAATTTGGAACGTCTCACTTACAAAGCAAGACCTGTACTGCTACACTACTACCACATGAATTAGAAAATTTTTGATGGTATGCTTGAAGATCTCTCACTGTCTCTCTCATTAAGATAGTCAACAAATGGAGAGGTCCTCCAGTGTCTCCTCTTTCATCATCGTGAAGGTCTCACAATAAAGGACAGCTTCACGATACGATTCAAGAGCTGATTATTATGTGGAATAATCCCAAAATCTCAACACAAAGAAGTGATTCTGGTGAAAGAAAACTTATACGATTCCTAGGAAATTATATGATTCCTATCTGTTCCTAAAAAAGCAGTTCCTAAAAAAGTTACAGACTTGGAAAGCAGAATTAAAAAATTAAATTGTCTAAAAAAGTTACAGACTTGGAAAGCAGAATTAAA